CCAACAACCACAGCGGCTCCAGCAACTACAGCGACTCCAACCAACACAGCTGCTCCAACAACCGAACAAGAAAAATATGAGGTGAAAACATGAAGGTAGGTAATTAGCTAATCTATGTGGTAGCACAAGGAAACTGTCCCAAAGTGAAAACAGAATAGAATAGAATAGGAAATGTGTTACATAAAACTAAAACTAAACATGATGATAAATAATATACACAAAGTGTATATTAATATCAATACACAAACAAATGGGATAAATGCACAGCGTTACTTAATTTAACATTTGGAAAGATGTTACATTTGAAACACTGTGGAAAAACATAATTCATTCGTCATACAAAATAAATCCTTATTTACTGTAAAATAAATCGCCAAAATGACGACGGCAAATAAAACTGTGGGTAAACTTAACTGAATATAAAATCTGTATTAAATTAATTAAAGCTCGACTGATAATCTGAAACATTTAGGTGAGACAAAGAAGCCAAAAACAGAGGAAATGTGTTAATGAAGAACACATTTTTTCACAGCACTGGGCAAAACGTAGAATGCCAAACAAACACAAATAAAAAATGTTCTTGATGTGCCAGAGCCTGAAAAACAGAAGACCATATCTTACTTTAAAAGGGCAGAGTGGGTCCTGGCGGCATAACTTGGCGACCTTCTTGTTGTTGCTGAGAAAATAGGGTATGTGCTCCGGCGGCAAGGAGATCCTGCTGTAGTTCAGCAGGGGTGAGGCCGGGTTGTGGTCGGTGACCTCAGCCGTCACAACGTTGACCGCGGCGGGGGGAAGGAAAACTATGCCCAGCGCTACCAAGAGCAGCATAGTCAGAAGGACAGGCAGACATATGAAACGGCTGCCTGTGTTCACAGCTCGCTCTGTGAGAATAGGAAAGACACACTCAGACTTGCACCTTATGATCTCGGTTAGGGAGAGTAACACATCACAGAGCAGGAGCATGTGGGCACAGGCAAGCGTGTGGGAACATGGCTCCAGGCGGATCTGATCTCCGCGCAAGGACAGGTCCTGTTATTGCAGGAAATAACGTTGACCTTTTTCCGACTCTTGTCTGAGCAACCACAACAAAGACTTAAAGGTCCAAAGGAGCTACGATTCCTGGTGCTGGAGCAGAAGGGGGAAAGTCAGAAGCCATAGTGACACAAAAGTCATTTTTTACGATCCAATCTAGTTGGTTAAAAGTCCAGACTTTGTTGGTGCTTTTACAGCCTTGAGCCAATGAAGTGTTTCCCTTCCAAAGTCAATGACTGATGTCTTAGAAATTATAGTGCAACCTTTGGTAGAGCAGCAAGCTCATTGTATTTCCCCACAATAGCTATGAATCAGTTTCATATCTGAAGGAAGGGGAAAATAAGAGACTGTTTATACTGCATATTTTAAAACAATGGGTGGAAAAAGCTTAAATGGTTCAGTAACACTAAGGAAGTCAGTAGTGAAAGATAATACAGTACGTTTACTCCAGTATTGTAAAATATTTAAAAAAAAATTAATATAGCCAGCTTTACACACCAAGATTACATGCTTCTTATTTACCAATGTGACTGTGCTGATTTTGCAAACAAAATAAATGTGAATTTTGACTATGTAATTGTAGAAAACTGGTAAAGACGTAACCCCAAAGGACTTGGTGCTGCAATTGGAGCAAACGGTGATTCTACAAACTTCTGAGTCAGGGCGCAGGAGGTTTATTTGAAAACCACGCCAAATTTTCTGTTCAGTTCTTACCTGCTTCTTTCTAGTGGTTTTGCATATTTTTTTTTTAATGAAACTAAAATAAAATACATTGACGTTTCCGTCCATAACACGACGAAATTAAGTCTATTCATTGCCAGGCACTGTGCCTATCTTACAGAAGTGGAAAATGTGTCGTCTTACTGTTATTTTCTTCTGCAGTGAATGCAGAGAGAAACACGACTTTATTTTTCAACGCCTACCTTTTATGTTACTTGTAGCTAGCTTTACTTCGACTGGTAATATTGAATAAAATTAACTTAAAACTTTGCGAACCGCATGGAGCATTCAGTAAAACATTGTAAATATAAATAAATATTCGCAACACAGATGTAGCGACAATAAGGCATAACTTAAGTGACTTCTTCGTCGGGACGCAGCAGATACGTTTAACAAGCTCAAATAAAAACGTCGAAATAGCTAACATCTAGCTCTGGTTCATAACAAAGCGAGAAGACCCTTATAATGTGAAGTTTTGCCGTGCCGTGAATGCAACGCAATAAGACAGAAAAGATAAGATATATTTCTATGACACAGTCACAACTACAACCACAAGTAATAACCACCACTGGTTATCTAAATAAATCTAATAATGCGTTGGTTAGGAACCGCTTTACCTAAATGCACAGCCTGCTGTCTCTGACTGAAGCAGCGATGATGCCGGTGGTCGCCATAACACCGGAAACCTTCCACGTTAACAGGGTGTACTGTGATCAAGTGGCCACCAGATGGCGCCACGCTTTTACGTTTGGAAGTTCTTTTAATAGGAAAAAGCAAAATAAGTCAAGCATTTGCATGGATACAGCGAAATTAACAGATTTTGTTCTGTTAAGACGTTTTAAACACAATTTACAATGTCTTAAACAATGATTATGTTTTTTTTTTTTTTAGTGCGGGGAAAATTTTGAGATTTCACATGGAAGTCAATATTAAAATGAACAGGGACATTCTTTCCACCACCCAAATAAATGTTTATTCATTTACATAATTATACATCTTAAAATTAAACCATCAGCACCTCTGAGATTATCTTCGGATCTACACCGTGCGTTGTGATTTATACATTAAGTATACCAACATTTCTCTATACAATAACATAAACTTCTTAAACCTTCCTGAATGTCCATGGACAAATTATGACAGAATTTGTACAGTGCAAACAAATCCTTTACCCCGTCATACAGTGGAAAAACTCTACAACACTACGCCTAAGGTTTTATTGTCAGCGATGTTCCACAGATTTCAAATCGATGCGTTAATCAACAAGCATGAGAATCCTTCATAGTTATTCAGCAACATTACTCCACACATCTGTCCTCACTTCGATAAAGCTCGTAACGGAAAGAAAATGGTGGATAAGATTAAAAAATAATAATAATCACAGTTATTAAGTTAGACGTTTTCCTCTTTGCTGTTATTTGAGTGCATCTGTGGCAAACAAGAACAACTGAGTTACAAGGAGGGGAAAGCAGGTGAAACTACTTTATTTCTGATTCTTTAGTAACTCATCAATCTGAGTTTTGTACATATTTTTGACATCTTCTAGGTCCAGTCTCAGTTCCTCCGCTTCCTCAGCCTTTTCTCCGTACATCTGCAGGATGGTGTTGTGTCTCTGCTCCAGATCCTGAAATCCACAGACATAGATGCATCGTTTGCCGTTTGAAGCCATGGTAAGGAATGCATACTCAACAATGAATTAATCGTTTGTTGTCCGCACCTTGAGTTGAATTTTCAACTTTGGGATGTCCTTCACTTTCTCCTGCATCTCATCGTTTTGATTCGTGAGCCGAACCAGCTCCTCTGCCATCACTGAGCGACTTCTCTCCAAACTGGCGATCTCGAGCTACAACAAAATTAAGCTAACTTCAGTTCAAGAATACGTTATCGATGCCAAAGGGAAATCAAATGCTGTTGCAACTCTTTTAATTAAAGAGTTATTGTAGACGGTGATGGCTGTGGGCAGGAAAGATCTCCAGTAGCAGTATGTATTGCAATGAATTTCAAGAAACCACTGACTGAAGACTTTTTTCTTCTTTTTTTTTTCTTTTTACACCTGATCAAAAATGAGTCATGTTGTTTGTTTTTATTTTCTGTATTACCTGCAACTGAGCTATCTCTCCTTCTCTCAGTTTAAGCTGGGACTGGAGGTTCTCTATGATGCTGGAGCCTCCAGACAGCCTGGCTGCCTCGTACAGGTTGGTTCCGCTCATCGACATCGACATGGTCATTGCTCCCATTGAGTGGTCCAAACAGTCATCCTGAGGATGATTAAAACGAAGCATAAAAACATTCAGAATCCATTCTCAAATAACGCTAAAAACGGCTCGATTTTTGTAAATAAATCTGATCAAAAACAGGACGCACCTGCGACAGAACAGAGGTGTGCAGCCCAGCGTTTTCCATCCCGCTGACGGAACTGGAGCGGGACAAGGACGGCGTGGAAGCCGCTGGCGGTTCTCCAATAGAGTGTGTTACAGCTTTACGCTCCTGGTTGAGGAAGAAATGAGTACATTTGGATGAACTGAAATAAAATTAAAATGCTTTGTGTCAAATAAGAAAATTCTTATGCACCTTTTCCTTTAGTGCTTCTTGTGCGAGATAGCATTTCTTCTTCTCTTGCTCCACCTTCATCTTTTCCATCTCTAGCTGGTTGGTCAGCAGTAGCTGGTTAAAGAAGCAAAGAGACGCATGAGGAGCTGTTTTTTGTAACAGAGAACAAGTAGGAAAACTTCCTGCCTTACCTTTTCTTTCTTGGCCTCTTCTAGCATCCGACTGTGTTCTCCTTTCAGATTTGTCAGCTCTGCATGCTCCCTAGGTAAAGATATTTAAAATGATCATAAACCATTTCAAATGCTCTTTTGAGATCAAACTACTTCTGTTTGATACAGTGGCACACAACAATACTTCTTCACAACTTTCACTCTAAGACACGCAGTTTTGCACGTCTTTATTACCCGTTTCATAGCATTCTGTTCATTTTATTTCATGGAGGCCCAAATATAGTCGAAACTGTCGACTAAAAGAATCGAGCCAGCCAGGAGTCGAACCTAGAATCTTCTGATCCGTAGTCAGACGCGTTATCCATTGCGCCACTGGCCCGGTTGAACAGCCCCACCTCCACACGGAAGATAAAAGCCACGAGGCTCAGGCTGCCGGAGGGGGAGGGGCTTCCAGCAGGACCAACTCACACACAGCACGCATAACAAAAGACCTGCGGTTTCCTGAAACCCTCAAAAACATCTTGGGACATCCAGGAAGCTCTGTGTATTTTTCAAACTTCTAGCAGTTTGCATGTTCATGTTCTTTTATTCATTCTTCTTTCATAACCGCTCGTCTTCATCTTTCCCTGTGGTTAAGGATAAAACATCTGAAAACACATTAGTTGTTTGCAAGTCCTTAAACAGCCATTAAACTGTGAGTAGTAGACCTGAGTGGACCGTCAGACTATGGCCACAGAACAACAGAGACATGTATTTGCAATGTAAGAGAAATGATGCTGGACATATAGACTTAATTGAATAAAAAACAAAAAGTTATTTCCATGAATGGTTTTGTTTTAACAGACTTGGAACATTACTAAGGCAGATCTCAGAAGGAGAGTTACTGCTAAATTAAAAGTAGGGTTGAGCTGGTGAGAGATACTGTTTTACTAACCTTTGCGTAAAAATACCATGATTTAATGGTATTTATAGAATAAATTTAAACTAAAACACAGAAAATTATCTAGATGCTTTAATTTAAAGCAGTAAAGAGGCTAGTTTTTCTACTTTTACAAAAATATGATCATTTCTTTATTGTTCATATGATTTTGACAAATGTAAGACAGAAAGAACTATAGTACAAACACCAGAGAAAAGTGGTTTTTGTGGTCTATTTTTTTGCCAGCTCCACACATCTTGAGAAAACTTAGGAAAATCAAAAACAATCTGACAGCTCTGATCTACAAACTTTACATTATATGAACAATACGCTGGAAAATCTGTGTTCAAACCTTGCTATTCTCTGACAATTGACATTACCTGCTGCTCTCGTCCTCCAGTTTCTCCCTCTTGCTTTTCTCCGCCTCCAGCTGAGCCAAGACTCTGGCTTTTTCCTGCCGGAGCAAGGAATTCTGGGATTCCAACGAAGCCAGCTGGGACTTGATGGATAACAGTTCCTCTGCCGCCGATCGCTCCTTCTCCACGGCGACAGCCAGCTGAGTCTGGGCATCCGCTGTTCAGACGGCCAGAAAGAGAGTCAGGCTTCATGGACACCTCTGCGTTTGGCCGACCGTTTTACAAACCGCGACTTGACGCGCTCTCGAGTCTCACCTAGCCTGTCGGAGATGTTCTTCTCTAGTTTCTCCCAGGACGCGGTTTGTCCGCCCAGCGAGGCTTGTAGGTTCTCGATTTGTCGCAGCAGAGGCCGCGTTGCTGAGGTGACGCTCTGGCTGAGCTCCTGGTTCCTGGTCTCTGCCTCCTGCAGTCTCTGAAACACATTGAGATCACGTGGAGTGGATTAGACAAAACCTGTTCCAGTCATGATGGAATGTCTTGCTCCATAGGAAAAAAAAAATTTATTAACAACATTTTCTTACCTGCTGAAGCTCACTGATCTCCTCCCTCAAATAATCTTCTTTCCTGGCCTGCTGTTGCTCCGTCCTCTGCAGAGCTATCCTCAGGTCAGCCACCTGCAAACAGGAGATGACAAACAGTCCAGTCACGCTGCTCTGGAACAGGTTCTCCACTATTTGCATATTTACAAAAGCAGGGCAGCAAAAGACAGAGAAACTATTATTGTCTTTAAGCTGCTGATCCGTGAGAATGAATGTGACATCAAACGCCAGTAAGTGTGTTTAAACAAAAACCGCATGTTTGAGTCAACATGGCAACAAAAAGTACAGCAAACTTTTTGTGGTGTTAACAGTTTATGCGGGCTAAGAAAAAAAATAAATAAATAAATAAAAATTAAGCAACTAAAGCACCCTTATTCACAAAACGTAAAAATGATTTTGCACATTTCATGTATTAAATGAAAGGTATCTAGTTTCCAAACTCTTTTAGACTCGCTTCAACAAAATTTATTCCCAGTTATAAAAACACGACTTTCTGTCAAAACGTTTTGCTATATTTTTTTAGCCGAATTGAATAAATTAAATGAAAGCTGATTTGGGTCGGCTTTTCAGTAAAAGTCTCTGAACGGACATAATTCTACTTATTATAAAAGACAAATATTTTGTGTTGCACTTAACATTTTCTTAAAATGAAAAGTTTAATAAACAAATTTGTATCACTCTTGAACTACAAGTTGGGGGACACAAAACGTCCAAATTCCCCACTTTGGACATGGATGGTGTAACGGAGGCAAAGTGGAAAAATGACTAAAAGAAATTGCTACATATAGTTTCTTGCAGAAGTATTCACACTGCTTGACTTTTTGCATCCTGTCACATGACAACTACAAAGTTATTGGGATTTTATGGGACAGAACAACAAACATTCCCATCTTCTCTGATCGGCTTTTCTGTTTCTGCTACATCACGCTGCAGCTGTATAATTAAATAGCGACTGCATATTTATGCTAACGCAATCTGTAGCTTACAGCGCTGTAGGAAGCAAAGTTCACTAGG